GCCGCTGAAAAACATCCCCACAGCATGATGCTGCCACCACCATGCTTCATGGTAGGGATGGTATTGACCTGGTGATGAGCGGGGCATGATTTTCTCCAAATGTAACGCCTGGCATTCACTCCCAAGAGTTCTATTTTTGTTTCATCAGACCAGAGGATTTGGTTTCTCATGGTCTGAGAGTCCCTAAGGTGCCTTTTAGTAAACTCCAGCCAGGCTGCCAAGTGCCTTTTACAAAGGAGAGGCTTCTGACTGGCCACTCTACCATACAGTCCTGATTGGTGGATTGCTGCAGAGATGGTTGTCCTTCTGGATGGTTCTCCTCTCTCCACAGAGGACCGCTGGAGCTCTGACAAAGTGACCATCAGGTTATTGGTCACCTCCCTGACCAAGGCCCTTCTCACCCGTTCACTCAGCTTAGAAGGCCGGCCAGCTCTAGGAAGTCTTGGTGGTTCCAAACGTCTTCCACTTACGGATGGTGGAGGCCACAGTGCTCATAGGAACCTTAAAAGCAGCAGACATTTTTCTGTAACCTTCCCCAGCCTTGTGCCTCAAGACAATCCTGTCTCAGAGGTCTACACTCAGGTCCTTTGTCTTCATGCTTGGTTTGTGCTTTGGCATGCACTTCTTCTTCTTTTGGTGTTTTACTGGCGGTTGGCAAACAACAAATGGTGCATTACCGCCACCAACTGGTGTGGAGTGTGGTCTGGAACAGCATTCTCAAAACAAAACCAAACAGGGGAAAAACAAAAACAAAAAAACTCAAAGTCTCCCAAACACCCTTATCTCTTTCAAAAACCGAAATAAAATCTGAAAACAGTCACTTCTTGAATTTTGTCTCGATAAATCAACAAGATCCAGTTTCACTTTCATCTGACTAAGAGTGTGAACCATTGTCCTTCTTTCCGCCTGATATTTCTGACAATGTAATATAACATGATCTAAAGTTTCGTCTTCTCCACAATAATCACATTTCCCTGTAGTATGCTTCCCTATCATGAATAATGTATTATTTAACCCAGTATGTCCAAACCTTAGCCTAGCAGTGATCACCTCCTCTCTCCTACTCCTTCCACCGTTCCTCATTTCTCCCACTCTTCTTTGAATGTCATCTCCCCCTCCTCTCCTCCTCCCATTGTTTCTGCCATTTCTTCTTCATTTCTTGCCTTATTATGCTCTTGATCTCTTTTTGACAAAAGTGAATATCCAACTGAACCGATGCATTTATTGTTGCTTCCTTAGCCAACCCATCGACTCCTTCATTACCTCTGATTCCACAATGAGCTGGAATCCATAAAAAATGTATTATAAGTCCCATCATGCTTATTCTATAAAGTGTTAGCTGAATCTATGAGTATGTCTGGTCTGCTTTCTGAATGGCTGTACTGTAAACTGGTTAATGATGAGCTGGAGTCTGAACAAATAACTGAGAATAATGGTCTGTTTTCTTCCACCTATTGAACAGTTAACAGTATTGCGAGCATTTCACCTGTGTATACCGATAATCCATCACTCACCCTCTTTTTTACTCTAACATGAAACTCAGGAACAATAAAAGCTCTTCCTTTGGCATGCACTGTCAACCCAGGTGCCTTAAATAGACAGGTGTGTGCCTTTCCAAATCATGTCCAATCAACTTAATTTACCACAGGTGGACTACAATTAGTCTGCTGAAACACCCCAAGGACGATCGGTGGAAACAGAATGAACCTCAGCTCAATTATGAGCGTCACGTCAAAGGCTGTGAACACTCATGTTCGTGTGATTAGTCAGGTATTTCTTTTTTAATATACATTTGCAACTTCTTCAAAGACACTTTTTCACATTGTCATTATGGGGTGTTGTGTTGAATTTCATGGACAAAATGAATTTAATCTATTTTGGAAGGATGCTGTGACAGAAACAACAAAGTGGGATAAGTGAAGTGCTGTGAATACTTTCAGGATGCACTGTATGATGTTGTTCCTCTTCACCATCAGGAGTAAAACCATGAAAACACACCGCTGCACTTCTGGAACGAAGCTGTGAGTAAACAAGCCGTTAGGTCACATGTAAGCTTCATATATATGAAATTGCATCGCTGCAGTACTTTGATTTGACACTAAACCCATGTGTGATTTCCTGACTGGCCCTACGTCAACTGAAGAAATCGACCCATCCCCATCTTTAGCGGCGCGGCGCGGCGCGGCGTGTTGTGCTGCTTCTGGGACTCGCCTGGAAATTGCCCCTGCACTGCCAGTTTGAAACACTCCATGGACTATAATGGATTCTATTTGAAGCTGCGACGTTCCGCTGCCGTTCTGCGCTGCTGATGCTTCCAGTGTGAAACCAGGCTTAGAGATAGGGTGAGAAGCTCAGTCATCCAGTATAAATACCGAAAAATGTCATCATCACAGAGCTGAGCTGATCTTTATGATCCATTCTGTGGTTATGAGGAACATTAGCTTCAAATGCAAATCAAACAAACCAGGAATGTTGTATCAGGATACATCCCTGCTGCTGCTGGACAGCTGAATCACCATTCAACACCAGGTTTATCCAGCAGGTGGTGGTAGAGGCTCAGCACGCATTTAGGACAGTTCAGTATGGGCTTTCTCCACAGTTACATTTACTGGGTTTGTTCTTCTGTTAGTAGGTTTTATTGTGTTAGACATTAAAACTACATCAGCAGTAATCCTAGGCTCAACAGCTGGTAAACGTTTTCCCCACCTTTGATCCATGTCTGATCAGTTTTAAAACTTTCTGAACAAATCAAATCGATTTGTTTTTTATCTAAACCAAGAGACTTTCATAGGTGGTCTTCCACCTGATACATGATTAAGGCTTTCTACTTATAAATCACTTCTCACCCTTAGGAACAAAATGAATAACTAACCCTAACCCTATGAACAGGAACCTAATGAAGTCAGCTCTGGACAGTTAACAGTGATGTCATGTATCTCACAGGCAGTTCAGACAGGCAGGGTCAGGTTCAGACCTTTTCTGTTCCCTGTTACCATGGTTACAGACAATCCAAACCATGGCGCAAGTTTAACATGCAAGAGGACTGTACAGTAGTTTGGGTCAGGACAACCTTCTAGAGCTGTGTGTTTACTCTGTTTCCTCCTGATATCATCAGCTGCCTGTAAAGACCACAGAGAGGAGAAGCTGTCAGCTCCAATCACATCCCTGCTGCTGTTACCAGTAACCCAATAGTCAGGCATCTGCATGAACACACTCACGTCTTCACACAACTTCCTCACAGGCTGTTTCACCCTCACAAAGATACACGAGGAGTGAGTGAAGGTGGGATAATCTCATTCTGAGAGGATGATGTCAGACTTTAGATCAGAGCTGGTGCTGCTGAGATGCTCTAATTGTTGTAGGTTTCATAGCCACAAGGGCTCATGGGCCTGCAGAGCTGCAAAGGCGTGGGCACAAGGAGTTTGGACCAGACTCAAAAAATCTCAACTTTTAATCTGTGTATAAATCAGCAGGAGGCCAAACCCCAAATCAGGTCAAAATCACCTTTGCAGAGGTTTTTCTTTTATTCTTCCCCTGCTTCTCCGGAGCTTGTGTCCTATCTCTCTCTTTCTCCTCGGTTGTCCCCATAGGTCTGCCCTTGTCTCTCATCTTCTAATGTGTTCTCCACCCCTCCCTGATCCTCTCCCTTCCCTCTTTCCATCCAATGACCTCATTTCCAGGACGTCTAATGTCACTGGTGGGTTTGCCGGCGGGGGTGTGGGGGGTTGCAGTGGGAGGACACACCCTGATGCCACCTCCTGCATAACCCAATCTCTCCTTCACCTCTTTTATCTCCCTGCTGGTGAGCAGCACAGTGACATCATGTAGCGGCTGCGTGAGCTGAATGCAGAATCAAAGGCCACCGACAGCAGAGCCTTTGATCAGGATTTCCTCCTGAATGCTTTTTTCTTACCAGATTATTGTCATCAAAAGAGTCCTACTCACAGGAATCAGGACAACAGCAAAGGTCACAGAGGCTCTAGTAGGCAGCAGGACAAAGCTGCAGCATTCCTCAGAGGAGCTCTAATCCCAAAGATGAGTTCAAGTTCAGATCTGACAAATCTTTAAATATGTTCTGTGTCACTTCATCCTCCCTGGGGTCACGGGGAGAAGGTCTCTAACTCCACCAGTCACCAGGTGAGATGTGGGGGACACCCTGGACCATCACAGGGACACAAAGAGACGAAGAACCAGTCACACACACCTCGAGTCTCCAGTTAACCTGACTGCATGTTTCTGCTCTGCCGTAGGAAACCAGAGAAAACCCACACATCCATAACATCACGCAACAAGACCACAGTCAGGATTCAAACCTGCAACCTCCTTGCTGTGAGGCAACCACAGGTTCCTCCGTGCGGACCACTCTCAGATACAGGGTCTCCAAATTATTATAAACTCAGCCCCTGCAGAAAATGCAAAGTTGTAGTCATTTGTGTGTTTTCACAAGTCTTTGTAGCCAAAGGCAGCCATCTTGGATTGGGTTGATTTTCAGATTGATTGGTAATAGAAGAACATCTAATCAATACCTTCATTAGGTTTCATTAAAGATTTCCAGCACACTTCCTTTTAACCTTTAAGGGCTTTGAAACTGGTCTGCTGGTGTTAGCCCTGGGCTTACCTGCATCAGCTCTCGAGGGTCTGAACTCTGACCCCAACCCAGAAATACACTGAGAATGTTCAGAATACTCCTAAAGGCGGCAGATCCAAGTAGAAGTGTAGAATATTAATGTATTTTTGTCTCCGCTGAAGTTTTACCAGCTTCTTTCTCGTGTTCTTCCCGTTCACGTTTCTACACTAAACATCTGAATAATTCACAATCTACTGGTGCCTTCATGCTGGTTCCCCTGCTCACACACACACACACATCCCACCCTCCTGCAGCATGTAATAAAACAGACTCTACCGCCCACCCTGCAGTAGAACACAAAGAGCTGACAGCCCTCCCCCATCCCTTTGCCCTGCTCCTATTGGCTGACAGGCCTGGATGCTGGCAGTGTCATAGACCAATAAAGCATCTCCAAGGTGATGTCATGCAGGCAGCATTGATGCTGTTGCTGATGCTGTTGCCTGGCGCCTGCATCCACGCAGCCAGACAGAAGTAACTACAGCGAGCCATCCACCTAAAGCAGAAGAAACGACCGGGACCGAAGGGGGGGTAAGTCTGCATGTTTTTCCTGAGTCGCAGCTGCACACATCTGGATCCAGCTCAAGTTACTTTGGGGGTTGAGTTCAGGGAGGATCCAGGTGACACCTAGGTGTGGTTTGGTTAGGTGTAACGGGGAGAGGATGCTCACGGAGGATGAGAGGACTGAGTTAAACCTCTGATCCTCTATCAGTGTGAAGGAGGAGAGGTGATGGACGTGTGAGCCGCCAGGAAAAACCTCTGACTGATTTATTGTAGTGATGATATAGTGATTACTTCACACTTAGAGCTTTATGTTGGCATTTCTGCAACACACACACACACACACACACACACACACACACACACACACACACACACACACACACACACACACACACACACACACACACACACACACACACACACACACACACACACACATTCTAATAAAACTGTGGTTAACACATAAACTTCAGTGAGAAGAACCGACCAAACCCTACCCTAATGACAAGGCCCAGAACAAAGTTATCTGTTCTTTCTTTAGTGTTTGTTTAATTTCTTAAGGCCTATGATAATAAGACATTTACAAGAGTTTATAATGGCATGGGTACCAGATATGGAGCCAGTTACTATAAAGATTTTAAATGCTATTTTATTTATCACCTCAGTATTTCTAATATGCATCACATGCTCATGATTCACCACCTACTAACCCAATAATCCAGTGATGTTCAGGACTTGTGGCATGGCCCAGGTTTGTAGAGGGCGTGGCTGGAAAGCAAAACTTTCAGCTGACTTCCTGTGGTTAGATTTGGACGTTCAGTCTTCTGGATTAGATTCTACAAACAGCTCTGAGTTTATGAAAAGATAAATGGCCTGTACTTCCATAGCATATTGTTCTACAACCCCCAAGGCACTTTACAATAAAATCGGTCATTCAGCCATTCACATGCTGGTGATGAGCTGCGATGTAGCCACCGCTGCCCTGGGGCGAGAGGTGAGACTGACGAGCACAAACACCATCGGTTCCTCCGATCGCCACCGGCAGGCAAGGCAGGTTAAGTGTCTTGCTCATGGACACAATGGCAGTCTCTGGTGGGATCAAACCTACAACCCATGTATGAAAAAATGTTCCTCATTGTATTTCCGTTTGTGTGAAACCCTATAAGAAACAACCTCGGTTTCACATAATGAACTGCAGCTTTGTGTGTGTGTGTGTGTGTGTGTGTGTGTGTGTGTGTGTGTGTGTGTGTGTGTGTGTGTGTGTGTGTGTGTGTGTGTGTGTGTGTGTGTGTGTGTGTGTGTGTGTGTGTGTGTGTGTGTGTGTGTGTGTGTGTGTGTGTGTGTGTGTGTGTGTGTGTGTGTGTGTGTGTGTGTGTGTGTGTGTGTGTGTGTGTTTCTTTCAACTTCATGGCGTCTGGAATAGAAATACTACCAACTCCTGAGCCTCTATAAGAGGGCGGACATACTTCCGATACCGTCTGTTAGCACACACCATGGGGAGTCAGTTTAAGGCCTCAAGGATTAATCTAATTTACTTAGTGGTACACGATAGCTTGGTAGTGGCTTTTTAAAGAGACACTAAGCAGCTTTTTCATATTTTTATATGATTTTCTATAACCAGTATGTGCTAAAATGACCCTTTAGGGGTTAATGAAATGTCACTCAGACCCGCAACGCCCTCTGTGGCCAGAATACTGCACTTGCAACTTCAGAGTCGGCGGACCACTCCCTGCTGGTGGAGGGAGCTGTGCTGTGGAGTGGAGAGGAGGTGACATGGTGGAGCTGCAGTCTGCTTCCAGCATGTTTCCAGCAAATTTGTTTCATGAACACAGCTGGTTTGTTTGATGAATCACTCCAGTAGAAACTAATGACATTTGAGATGTTTTAGCTGTATGATTGAAGAGCAAGTCAACCCAAATCAACGTTTTTTTATGCTGCCTCACTTACTGTGGAAGAAGAAATCGCATTAGGGAGGATGCTAAGGTTTTTGTTTCTAATAGAATTAATTTTGCTCGTAAAAAATCCTACAAAGCTGGTGCTGCTGAGGGCTAAGGGAGCAGATGGTACAGAGCTATGATTATCTGTAAGTTTGACAACTATACTGAGAAGTAATTTAGGATTATTCTTAATCTCCTCAATTAGCAATGAAAAATAAGCAGTTCTAGCTTTTTGAAGCTCATTTTTTATAAAGCGCAAGACTATTTTTCCAGGATAAGTGGGACTCCTCATGGTGCGTAGAGCGCCATGTTCTCTCCAATTTTCTAGAATTTTGTTTTAAAGTTTGTAAATCAGAATTAAACCAGGGAGCCAACTTCCTGTCCCTAATTACCTTCTTTTTAAAGGGGCAACATCATCCAATGCCACACATAAAGAAGAAGTAACATAATGAACTAAGGCATCAATTTGTGAGGGGCTAGAAGTGAAAATATTGCCCTCTGCTACGTTCCTCTGAGATGCTGAGGACAGTAAAGATGGAACAGTTGATTTAAAAAACGCAACTGTGTTGTCAGATAGAGACCGACTATAATGAAATTTACTTTCATGTCTCGAGAACTCAGTTATAAAAAACTCAAAGGTTATCAGAAAGTGGTCCGAGAGGACTGGATTATGTGGAAAGATCGTTATTTCCTCACACTCTATGCCATAAGTCAGCACAAGGTCCAATGTATGATGGCAGGAGTGGGTGGAGCTATGTATTCTTTGGGTAAAACCAATTGAGTCTAAGATATTACTAAAGGCTACATTCAGGCTATCATTTTCAATGTCCACATGAATATTAAAATCCCCCACTACAATGACCTTATCAGTATTTAGCACCAAATCAGATAAAAAATCAGAGATCTGATCCAAAAACTCAGAGTAAGGGCCTGGTGGACGATATAAAACTACAAACAAGAGTGGTTTTACAGTTTTGCAATCTGGATTAGGAAAACTAAGAATAAGATGTTCAAACGAACTGTAACTATTAATCTGTAAGGGACTGATTAATAAGTCCGAATGAAAAATGGTTGCCACTCCTCCTCCTCGCCCTGTATTTCGAGCAATATGATGATTTAAATAATTTGAAGGAGTCGACTCATTTAAGCTAACATAGTCCTCTTGCTGCAGCCAGGATTCTGTGAGAGAGAGCAAAGAGATCTGATTATCACAAATCAAGTCATTAACTAACAAAGTCTTAGAAAAAATTATCTAATGTTCAACAACCCACATTTAATTTTTCTAGTTTTCTGCTCAGTTGAATTTGTTCTAATATTTATGAGATTTCCATGATTTGCTTTATTAAGCCTGATATTTAATCTGTGTGGTTTTGGCCGTGGGCAGGACACTGTCTCTATGGGGTAGTGGGTGGGTAACAGTACAGAAGCTGCAGAGGGGTGGGTTAAACTACGACTCTGCTTCCTGGTCTGGACCCTGGGTTGTCATGGAGGACTAATAAAACTGGCCATGTTCCTAGAAAGAAGAGCTGCTCCATCCAAAGAGGGATGGATGCCGTCTCTCCGCATCAGACCAGGTTTTCCCCAAAAAGTTTTCCAATTATCAATGTAGCCCACGTTGTTTTCAGGACACCACCTAGACAGCCAGCGGTTGAAGGACAGCATGCGGCTAAACATGTTGTCACTGGTCCGATCGGGTAGGGGGCCAGAGAAAATTACGGGGTCCGACATTGTTTTGGCAAACTTACACACTGAAGCAACATTAATTTTAGTGACCTCCGATTGGCGTAACCGGGTGTCGTTACCGCCAGCGTGAATAACAATCTTACTGTATTTACGCTTATCCTTAGCCAGCAGTTTCAGATAAGATTTAATGTCGCCCGCTCTGGCCCCAGGTAAACATTTAACTATGGTTGCTGGAGTCTCTAATGCCACCTTTCTGACTATGGAGCTGCCAATGATCAGAGTCGGCTTGTCAGTGGGTGCGTCACTGAGCGGGGAAAATCTATTAGAAACGTGGACGGGTTGGTGGTGGCCCACGGGCTGGGTTCATGCTTCCTGCGTACCGTCACCCAGCCGGCCTGAGGTCCCGGCTGCTCGGGTTCTGCTGGAGGACTGCTTCGGGGTGGTTCTGAGCTAGTTAGCCCCACGCTAGCAGAGCACCTACGGCTATCTACGGGCTTTTCAACAGAGTGGAGCCGGGCCTCCAATTCCAACACCCTCGCCTCCAAAGCTTTTTTACACGTACCATTATCACTAAAGGAGGCAGAGGAGTAACTAAACATCTGACACAGAGAGCAAAAGATAGGAGACGGAGAAGCAGAGACAGAAGTAGCCATAGCCGTGCTGAGGCTAAGCTAACTGGACGAGCAAACTGTTCAACACCAAATAAACTGTGTGCAAACTCCAATGGTTCCCTAAAAGCTAGGTGGAACAACATAAAATGTGTGTTTTAGCGTGCTTTTGTGCTACAATAACTCAGAGATGTCCTTTTACACAGAAATTTAATCAGTTTCAGCAAGCCACAAACACCCAACAGCTACACAGTGCAACAGTGAAAACAGGAAATGCCTTACCGCAGATACTGCCACCTACAGGTCTGGGTGAGAAGCAATCTGGCTGGAATTCTGCCCACCGATCCACAACATCCCGAGTAGAGGTCAGCAGCACACTGTCACCACTATAAACAGTGTTGATAGTGCACTGCTTTCCCCTCCTGAGACGACGGATGTTGGACCAGAATCTCCTCAAAGCCGTACGGAAGTCTTGCTCCATGGTCTCACCGAACTCCTCCCACACCCGGGTTTGGACTGCTGGCCTGTGTGTGTATTTGTTAGTGGCTCCGCCCTCCCGTTCAGCCAAGCAACAACATTTGTTGCATTTTTCAAAAAGGAAGTGGGAGTGGAGTAAAACTCTATAGGGCAGTGGTTCTCAACAAGCGGCCCGCGGGCCCCCTCTTTGTGGCCCCCAAACCCCCCGCTCAGACAGCCGAGCCAGACAGGAGGGGACAGGTGTTGTGCTTCTTTCTATTGTAAGCTTGTGATTCACGTGCATTGCAGCCAGCCTGTTTAAGACTATCTCTTAAACAGGCCTCAGTTTGTGAGGGTTGGGGGTAAGTGCTCGGACTTGATTTTTACAAACTCTGGTGCACCACAGGGGACAGTTTTAGCTCCTTTTTTATTTACACTGTATACAGCTGACTATAGGCACAGTTTACCATCTTGTCACTTACAGAAGTTCTCTGATGACACTGCCCTACTGGGCCTGATCTCCCGGGGTGACGACCTGGCTTACAGGGAGGAAGTTAACTCCTTTGTTGGATGGTGTGATGCAAATTTTCTACAACTCAATGTTGGCAAAACACAAGAGCTGGTTATTGATTTTAGAAAGAAAAAACAAGCATTCTCTCCAGTAGTCATCAAAGGCCAACCTGTAGAAACTGTGGAGACACATAAATATCTCGGGGTATACCTCGACGATAAGTTAAACTGGAAAAGGAACAGTGATGCTGTTGTTAAAAAGGCCCAGTCCAGACTGTTTTTTCTTAGGAAGCTAAGATCCTTTGATATAAGTAGGAGGCTCTTGAATGTGTGTTATCAGGGGATTATGGTCAGTGTGTTGTTTTATGCTGTGTTGTGTTGGGGCAGCCTCACTGCTGAGGACAAAAACAGGATCAACAAAATGATCAAGAAATCTGGCTCAGTGGTTGGGCAAGGCTTGGACTCATTTGACATGATCGTCGACAAAAGGATGAAGAGGAAACTTAAGACAGTTATGTCTCTGGAGGATCACCCCTTCACCAGGTTTTTAAGGATCTCGGGAGCTCTTTCAGTGGGCGAATGTTAACGCCCCGGTGCTCCACTGAACGTTTTAGGAACTCTTTTATTCCAGCTGCAGTGCATTTTTACAAAGACCATTTTGTATGATTGTATATTTGATATTTTTATATTTTATCAGGACCCGTGAATGTTTTATTATGTGGATGTGCATGTTGTGTTTACTTGTCCAAGGCAATTCAATTTCCCCCTTGGGGATTAATAAAGACAACCTTGAACCTTGGAGCATGCCTATCTGCAGAGCTACGATTGCAGCGTCCTGTCCTCGGGCTCTTCTTCTCACACTCTAGGTTTGACCTTTAAAGTTGCTGAAGCCTTGCTCTGTGTCTCTGTGTGTCTGATAGAGTGAGCAGGATCTTCAGCATCTCTGGAGAGTTACAGACGCAGTGAAAAGATGACTCTGGCAGGTAAATCCAGCTGCAGCAGAAACACGCTCACCTTGCAGCACACCCCAGAGATCACATCCTGTCACATTTTAACGACCGTTGCTATAATCAGAGGAAGGAGGAAGAAGATTGATCACATCCTGCTTGTTCATGAATCAATCACGTTTTATGTGCATGTGTTTGGTTGTTTTACACAGAGAAGGTCAAAGAGCTCCCCCTGGTGTCTCTGTTCTGCGCCTGCCTGAAGCCACACATCTCAGAGAAAACCACGTACAAAGCAGAAGGTAAAGGTGTGTGTGTGTGTGTGTGTGTGTGTGTGTGTGTGTGTGTGTGTGTGTGTGTGTGTGTGTGTGTGTGTGTGTGTGTGTGTGTGTGTGTGTGTGTGTGTGTGTGTGTGTGTGTGTGTGTGTGTGTGTGTGTGTGCGCGTGTGTGTGTGTGTGCGCGTGTGTGCGTGTGTGTGTGTGTGTGTGTATGGGTGTGTGTGTGTGAGTTTGTGCTGCTGGGCCCTTCATATGCTTTAAATGCATATATGCACAGTGGGGATTTGTGTGTTTTTAGTTACTATAATATGTCTTCTTAAAGCCAAAAGATAGCCATGATATTTCATTATGTATCATGTTGGTGTGTAAATAATTATTCTTTTGGAATTCTGGGATTTTTTAGCTTACATTTTTATGATATTCGTGTCAGCCAGAATCCACTTATTAGGATAAGGTTGAATAAACACAACGTTGTAACATAACTGTGACCAAACACCACAGATGCCGTAGACCTGGGCTGGTGTGTCATGAAGGACGTGGAGGTTATTGAGATCAATAAGCGGACATCAGGCCAGGCATTCGAGGTGATCCTCAAGCCTCCGTCCTTTGATGGAGCACCAGACCTTAACACCTCCATGCCACAGCGCCGAGACCCATCCCTGGAGGAGATCCAAAAGAAGCTGGAGGCAGCTGAGGAGAGACGAAAGGTGTGTGTGTGTGTGTGTGTGTGTGTGTGTGTGTGTGTGTGTGTGTGTGTGTGTGTGTGTGTGTGTGTGTGTGTGTGTGTGTGTGTGTGTGTGTGTGTGTGTGTGTGTGTGTGTGTGTGTGTGTGTGTGTGTGTGAGTGTGTGTGTGTGTGTGTGTGTGTGTGTGTGTGTGGAGGGGGATAGCAGCATCGTATCGACCCTTGTACGGATCCAATCACCTTACCCTTAATGTTTTATCAGCAGTAGAGGAAGAATAGATGAAAGGTGGGGCTAGAGGGAATCAAAGAAAGTGATAGAGCGATAAAGGATGCAGGTGTGGAGGAAGAGAAGAGGGACATAGTTTCTTACACATGCATAAAAAAGTAAAAGTGTTGCATATTCTATGCTAACAAGTAAGTTTCCTATCAGCATAAATTATAAGCATAGTAAAAGCATCCGTAGCAATCGTCAACATAAATTTTGGACAAATAATCTCCATAGGCTCAAATTATACATTTTTGGTATAAAATGGGAGGTTCCCACTAATGCCATTTTGACCATGTCACACATCTCGTCACACCTAGACAATCCAAAATTGGGGAAAGAGGTGGAGTTGAGAGTGGGGTTGTTACAGTTGCAACGGGTTGGACCAAGTAAACCAATGTAGCTACTAGCTTTTAGCTAACACAAGGGGTTCAGGGGCAGCAAGCTGCTTGGCTTCCGGGTGAGGCTGTAGTCATGCTGGTCGCCTGTGGTGCTGTAATGTGGAGTGATAAAATACAAGCAGAGCATCAGACTTCAGCGATCGGAGCCGGGCACCCTGTCCACTTGTGAGGTCATTCTCCGCCTTGGTCTGAGCAGGACGGAGCTCAGCGGGAGCTACATGCTAACTCAAGCTGATGGAGGTTTTTCGGGCTTTTTTAGCGAGAGAAATGTGGTAAAGCGACTCCAAAATCAACTCTAAGAGCAGCTGTGTTTCTGTAATCTCGCTCTGAAAGCTCCACATGCAAGCAGCACAACTACAGCCTGGCATGGAAGCCAGGCGGACATGCGGTGCATGTCGGCCCCCTCGGGAGATGGGAGCATGTCGCCAGGGTGAAGGAGCTATCCCCGGGCGAGAGACAGGACCTCGCAAATCTTTGACCGCAGTGAACCAGCAAAGCCCCGAAGCCTCTGCTAGCTAGCATCAGTCAGCTTACGAGTTTCCAGTCAACCAGCCAGCCCCACCAACAAGTTATATTTCAACCCATCTTTTACCAAGCAGTGTTATGCACAGCATTCCCTCCATTCAACCAGCACAGAAATATAATTTTACTTACTGATAAAAAGAAGCAGAAACTGCTTGGATGATCTGTTATTGCAGTAAAAACCACAGCTTGCCCTCTTTGTCCAAACAATTCCATGATTAACATCCAAACACAAACACACAGAGGACACATCTAAAGTACAGAGCCGAAATGGCCAAACATCTATTAACGTGAGGCCAAAGCTGAGGCCTTACCCCGGAGCTAGCCGCTAGCGGTGGCTCTGACGCTCATTAGTTATCCAGAGTGTCAAGCATTTAATAACACATTAATGAAAGAGTTACAAAATATTCACCTCAGTTTTCTGTAAACTAGATCTATTAAACCAAAGTGGCTTTTTGAACCAGGATGTAAACATGTTTATTTCTGCTGTGAAACTGGAATTTTAACATGGGAGTCAATGGGAACTTGCTCTGTTTTGAAGTCAGACCCTAGTGGATGATGGTGGAACTGCAGTTTTTGGCACATCCTTGTTGGGAGCAGGTCTGGATTCGGAGGGTGACGCCTTGGTAGCTATTCAGGCTGTCGTTTATGAAAACTGGCTGTCCATTTTGCAGCATAATGACTCGCTGGCTAATACCACAAAGCTACCAAGCCACCGTGTTACCTGCATAATTAGCTTCACGTCCTACCAAGATAACCTGCAAAAACTTGACAATATTTCAGTTTCACAACTTACCTTAATGTTCAGCTGTTCTTCTCACAGCTATGCCACACACCCAGCCCCCAGCAAACCATCCCTCCCTCCCAGTGTTATTTACTACTATGCTAGCCCTGTAGGGTCTGGGTCATAGACATGAATTCGTAGACGCCCCACTGGGCGCCAGGGAGCGTAACAGCATTGCCGCTATATTGGATAGGTCTCCTCACTCTCCAAAGTGAATGCAGAGTGGGCAACGATGCTCATTTCTGTACAGGCTATGGTTGCAACAACCAATGTACTATTGAAAACAGATCACGTGGGAATACGCTTCTAGCCTACCTGATGGGATTTTATATTTTTATTTATTTTGTTACGTAATATTTATATTTTGATTGTCATGCCATACCGTGTGTCTGGTTTAGTAAAAAAGCCTGATAACATTTGATTTTTTTTATTGGGTAAGCACTTTCCTCAGTAGAAATTATTGCAGTGGGAGACCCAGCCAAGATGGCAGCCACTACGGCAGCTCCAAGTGGCAGCTCCAAGTGGCAGCTCCAACCCACAGGGAGTCTACGGCCCAATATCAATACTCGCACTGCGCCCTGCGGACTTCAGTAAATTGCACTTTGAGAAAGTGTGCTGTAAGGCTTCGAGTGTGTGGTACACAACTGTGCAAATAACTGCAGAATTGAGACAGGGAGCATTGCGTCATCGATAGTAATGCATGCCGGGATTCTGGTCGCTGTGATACTTTTTCAAAAACCTTTATTAACAACTTTTAAGCAAACAGCCAAACAGTTATTTGGAATTAATTTACATTTATTGCTGCTTTGTCTAAAAGTTTTAGAGCATCAACTAATTGTCCTAAACCTGACTGATCTCCTTAGAAAATACTTTTTTTAAGAAAAGGAACATGAGCCTTTTCTCCTGCAGCAATGACTTGTGGGTAATACCTTTGCCCGAGGTCCGCATCGCTGCGGCCCTGGGTGAAGTGCAGATTAAGGGTGCAATGGGGGCGTGGTCAACTTCCGCACTTGAGAATCGGGACACCACACTCGCACCCCTGGGCGGGAACGCACAATTGAAGGGAGCAAGGGTGCAAGTGCAAGGATTGAGATTGGGCCTACGTCTGTCTGGGTAGGTACCACCTTTATAGTCCTCTGTCTCCCCCTAGTGCCAGGAGGCTGAACTGCTGAAGCACTTGGCAGAGAAGAGGGAACATCAGCGAGAGGTGATCCAGAAGGCGTTTGAGGAAAATAACAACTTCATCAAGAATGCCAAGGAGAAGCTGGAGCAGAAGATGGAGGCCAACAAGGAGAACAGGGAGGCCCTTCTGGCCGCCATGCTGGAGAGGCTGCAGGAGAAGGTACATGTGGAAAAAATTCTCTCAGCGGTCAGAAAGTTTACCAAAGGCTTTCATTAACGAGTCCTCTGGCTTTCTTCTGCCAACAGAAATGTCCCCTCTGACAGAATAAAACCCATCTGCATCAAATTCACGATGTGTTTACTGAGAGTCACAGAAGTAAAAACCAGAGCAGCAGTGAATGTGTCATGCTAACCTCCAAGTGTTGTTTATTTCATAAGGTTTTGGTTACATCACCAAAGCCACACTTCACTGCTCTGACTAATTTTAACTTTTAAATCCTTCAACTCAGCTGAACAGGAGATGGTCCCGTTTAGTCTGGTCGGTTTAATTAAACACACTCTAGACTGGGCTGGGATCACCGATAGGTGTCCCGCCACAGGAGGGAGAGCAGTCTGCTGCCCCCACGGCTCAGACCTGGACAAAGATCTGCTTAGCTATAGTCTGGTCTTTTAAGTTTCATATTGATCCGTCTTCAAGCTTTAGCTGTAACCCTGCTCGGGTGTCTCTCTGAGAGACTTCACCTGACCGCTAACAGCTCCAGAAACACAAACATCTGAAGCTTTGCTTATCCTGAAAAATCATTTCAGCTTTCTTCTCCTTTATGAGTAATCATGCATATCAGATGAAAAGCATGCTTCATTTCCTCAGGTGCTCTTCAGACCATCAGGAAAGTGACTACGTTTACATGCAGCCATTATCCGGGTTATGATCGGGTTAAGGTCGGCATTCAGGTTTCTGAGTTGATCAGAACAACCCGTTTACAAGCATAAATAGAAAGAGTTACCCCTAACTTGCATAACCCGGTTTAAATGCGGACGTTGGGGTAGCGTCAGGACGTATGGACTAGGTCAAGACGCAATATGCGTCATATTTCGCTGTCTGTGCACTTTCGGCCGTCAACAAAAGACATAATCTTCATACTTTTCTCCAGACCGATGAAGACAGAGGTTTCCTCGTCACTCCAAAAGTGTGGTGCTGTGCCGCGACTCGCCATGTTGCTCCCAACTTGTTGTTTACCTCCGGTGTTCTGGCGCATACAAGACGTCTCGCTACTCAAAAGACCAAGATTCCTTGTGAACAGAGCATGCGCAGATCACACGCTTTGATGGGGATATCCCGGTATGCCTTTACACGACCAAACATTCGGGTTAGAAAAGGGTTACCCCAGGTGTAGTAACCGGGTTTTTAAAAACCCGGTTATGAGCATATCCGGGTTTTTGGCGGTGTTTACATGGACCTGCGGAACCGGGTTATTGTGAATATTCGGGTTTTAAAAGGGTTACTGGCTGCATGTAAACACACTCACAGTTTCTCATTCATGTAGAGACATTTATGAGCGTCCCTGTTGTGTCTTTGTCTCTGTCTGACAGGATAAGCACGCTGAGGAAGTCAGAAAGAACAAGGAGATGAAAGAGGAGGCCTGCCGATAGGCTGAGCTGAGCCAACCCAGAGAACCAGTCAGACTATGACTTCCTGTGTGTCTGTTCTAAACAAAATGTAAAAAAAAACAAGGAAAGAAAACAAATGGACTCAACCACAGCAACTTGGACGAGTTTAAAAGTCAGGTTTCAATTTTAATTATGCTGTGAGGAGCTTCAACAAACTGTGCAAAGGGCGACGCTCGGTGTTAAAAGTGCTTGTGTGTGTGTGTGTGTGTGGGGGGGGGGGGGGGGGGGGGGGGGCAGCTTCTCTGTCCGTCTGAGTGACCTGATGCTTTTCGGGTTCACTGGACCTTACCCGTCACACACACACACACACACACACACACACACACACACACACACACACACACACACACACACACACACACACACACACACACACACACACACACACACACACACACACTTGTTTTTGTATTTTTGCGTGGACGTCCATTGACTTCCATTCATTTTAGTGACTTCACTGTGCCTGACCTGTACCCTAGCCCTAACCTAACCACCAAAACCGTGGTATGAAATAACTTTTAGTTTAGGTTAGGAAAAGAACCCCATTGGTTGTTCTTTTCCTAACCTAAACTAAAAGTTATTTCACACCATAGTTTTAGGGTGCTTAGCATTACGTTGACCAGAAAAATGTCCCCACAATATGGAAATGTCCACACTCTACTGGTTAAAGTTACAATTTTTCCACTTAAAGGTATAAAGACAAGTGTACACAAACACACACACTTACACTCACTCACACACATTTCTTCTTGACTGAAGACAGAGTTGCTGAGCAACATGAAAACCCTGCTGATGGAATTCAATCTGGACCTGTGGAAACCATTTATCACCTACAGAACCAAAAGCTTCTCCTGTCGTGGATCACTAAACATCACTAAAGATTTTATTTTATCATCCTTCTGCTTTATGTTGTACAGAGTCTCAAGGACGACACAGGAGACTAAATTAATTGGCCAATGGGTTTCCTAGTACAGTCCTAGTGTGCACCAGACACTTTCTTGTGTGTTCAAGATAATGTTTTGACAGTGTCTATTGGGCCATTCCCATCTGTACGGGCCGACCCGGTACAGATGGGAATGGCCCATTAGGTTGTTTACATATCTGGGTGGCCTGGTATTTTTCCGGGCCGACCAAGGCTCATTCTCAGCCCTCTTGTCGAGGGGGTCTGCTTCAGGCCGACCAGGGCCAACACACCCACTGCTGACAGCAAATTCACACCTTCCATTAGAGCAAGCCTCTGATTGGTGGGTAGAATCAGCCCACATGGGCTTAAGGCAAGGATGTGTGGAATCAACCGGGCCAGGCTGGGACCGACTGGGGCTACCCGGCCCGGGCCGACCCGGTACAGATGGGAATGGCCCATATGTGCACAAGATAGTCTATGTGCATCACAACTTGTGTGCACCAGATAGTGTCTATGGCTCCAGAAATTGCCTGTTTTTGCACCTGATAGTGCTTATGTGCACCAGAATGTGTCTGCTTGCACCTGGAAGTGTCTTTGTGCACAAGTTAGTGTCTCTGTTTGCACCAGATTGTGTCTACGTGCACTAGATGGTGTCTCTGTGTGCAACAGTTTATTTTTATGTGCACTAGATAGTGTTTCTGTTTGCACTAAATAATTTTATGTGCACTAGTAGTGTCTCTGTGTGCACCAGAGAATTTATGTGTGCGCTAGATATTGTCTCTGTTTATACCAGAGAATTTCTATGTGCACTTATTTCTTGCTACTTGTGTACATCAGACAGTGTCTCTGTGCACATAGAAAGTATTTTTTGCACAAGAACCCATGTTACTTTTTTATCTCCTGTGTCTCCTCAGGACTACATCAATGCACTCATGAAGCTTTGTGGTGAACATATGATTCGACTTGCTTGTGTATGTTCCGCCATCATCAGACACTCTGAACCTGTAGCTGTAGTTCAGCCACATGCATTTACGCCTCTTAGAGCACTGATTGCACTCTTATTTCATTAAGCACAACTCAGAAGCACACATGCATACAAGCGGAACATCTATTCAGGAAATCTACTAGAGGAGCTGTCAGTAACATCAGTCCAGGACTTGCTGTTTTTCTTCGTGTTAAAGAGAACTAAAAGTGAGGAGCGTTTGCAGAAGAATGAAACATGCCTGAGGTGTTGAGTCATACTGACTTGATTGAAATGTTTAAATGTTTGTAAAGTATTTAGGAAGTGGAGCTCTGCTTTGTACTTGCTGTAACTGCCTGTTGCTGTATTTCTTAGGATTGGATTATTTGTATTTATTTGGCATGATCAGTTAAACAATCTTGAGTTGAACTCAGTTTGGTGTCTTTATTTTCATATCGGCTGCTGAATTGTTCTTGTTTCTACTTCACTCCGTCTAACTTCACTATCAGAAGATAGGATTGTGTCTTGAAGGTAACACGAACACTAAAGCGACATCTAGTGTGTGGAGGATGTAGTTGCAACTATAGAATAAGGTTTCCAGTCATCAGGAAACCAGGTTTGCTGCGACACGTGAAATGTTTTATTTGGTTCCATCTGTTGAATAGCTTCACCTAAACTCATCTGGTTTTAGATCATTGATGGTTGCTCCTCTTCTGAGAAGGATAATAGCGTCGTCTGGGCTCAGAAGCAGCTGCTTGACTTGCCGAGTCTGCCATTTTCCACAGTGCCAGTCTCGCTGTGCTGAGCGTACTGTTTGGCAGCCCACAACGGTGCCCTCTATTGGCTGGCAAATGTAAACATAACCCCATATTTGATTATTTTTTATTAAAATATAGCTTTTAAAGGAAATACTGTACCTTCATTCTGCACACCTCTAAACGCCCCGTGGAGATATTATTTTTTATGAATTATATAGCTTTTAATTAAATTGTTCCATATTCAACCTTTAGGCCAGTTTTCCCTGAGATTTCTGAAAAATCATCTTCCTGTCTCCAAGGAAATACCAGTCACCAACAGTCCACCCCAGCACGCTTTTTGAGCACTAGGAAGCTGTAGCCGTGGAGCTACGTCGGGGTCACACACACAAACACTCCACACCAGCAACTCGTCTACAAACACCACATTCAGTCCCTCAGACGCTCCTCAATCCACATGTCCAACCTAATTCATGTGGAGTAAGACACCTCCTCTGCATCTGCCACCTGTATTGATGCGCTTCACCTGCTGTTGTGCACGCTCCCGCTGCCACGTCGGCTCTCTGCTCACTGACAGATGCGCATTCTCTCGCGCTTAGATATTTTCTCTTTAAATGTAGGCCTATCACCTCAGTGGTCCATTATAAAGGACTTTGTTAGCGTCATTTCTTAGCAGAGACCAGAATTAGTTATAGCAAAGCTCTGCTAGTTAACTTTTTAAAAGTGAAACTGAAAACTCGAATCTGGTGCAAAAGTTCAATTATGGCAGTAATCCAACTTAAAAGGTGAAACTAATCTATGAGCCAGACTCATCCCATGCCACTTCTGATATCTCAGCCTTTAGTTGGTATGATTGTGATAATTATGGCTCTTAGCTGATAATAACCCCACATTCAAGATCTCAGACCTTTAGAATATTGTGGAAAGGTTTAATATTCTAGACTCAAAGTGTCACACTAATCTGAGCCTTTAGATCAGGGCTATTCAAATCTGGGCCTCAAGGACCAGTATCCAGCACGTTTTAGTGGTTTCTCTGGTCCAACACAGGTGATTCGATAATTGAATCACCTGTGCAGTAGCTCATCAAGCTCTGCAGAAGCCTGTTAATCACCTACAATTGAAGTCATGTGGGTTGAAGCAGGGTTGAAACCATAGTGTGCTGTATACCGGACCTCAAGGCCTGGAGTTGAATAGCCCTGCTGTAGATGGTCTCTCAGTCTGAGCTGTGTTACTGGCATAAATTGGCTTTTGCTCCAAATTCTGATTGTTAACGTTTCACCTGTAGATTTTAGCAGGTTTGTGATGAGGAATTCAGCTCACAGTCAGAAACAATATCAAGACACAAACCTAACCCCACTCCCAACATCCCTTATTTCCAGGCTGTGAAAGATGGCAGCCATAATAGCTCCTGGGCTAGCATAGATGCTAGTGCCAAACACAAATGAGTCACAGTTGCCACCATAGGCTTTGTAAAATACAGTTTAATGGAGAAGACCCTTTGCTGACTAGTCCTTATGAATGGAGGACAAGCCTTTTCCTTCAGTTCTGGTTTACGTACGAGGGTCTCACACAGGTGCAGCCGACCGTGATCACTTCAGTCCCCAGGGTGAAGCGGTAGCCGAGCTTCCTCTTTTTGGTTTTCTTTTTTGACTTTGTACTTGAGACTCTGTGGGATGAGAAAACGGGTCAGTGCTGAATGATCTCTGATTCTGCCATCAGTTTAAAAATGAATCGCCTTCAGGCTGTGGACGTAAAACAGGATGAAATTAAATCCAAAATATGGAGACTGAATAGTTTTCACAAATCAGCCCCTACAATTACAAAGTTGGTACTCCCCACTTTTGTGTTTGATTTCAAGAAAATCTCCTGAGGTGGGAAATAAAAACACCCATTTGTCTTAAGTTTAGGATGAAGAAGAAAAGCAGGTGATCCAAGGCACTGTGATGATTTGATTTTATTGAGAAAGAAAAGGCTGACGTCACACAAGACCTTCTTTGGGGCAAAGACTATCTGAAAATACCCAGGTGTCCCTAAATAATGAGCAGCTGGTCATACGACAAACATGAGATCAAATACCAACTTCATCAAATGAAGGCAGAAAAAACTATAAGTCACTTGCGAAAAAATTGGCAGCAGGCAAAAACCACCACCCAAATAATAAATAATTATCACAATAATAATAATAAAATGAATAGTATTAATTAAGGATGTGTACTGGCGATATGATCACGATACAGGTGAGACGATACAATACATCGTGATATAATGCGATATATTCAGTCAGACGATACTAGTGATTTTTTTAGACTGATTTCATTGTAGGAAAATTCAATAAATGGTCCAAACGGATACTTAACATGAGTAACATGAGGTATTGGAACCACAATAGAGCTCCGGACCCCACGTGACTCTCAGTTAGTGGACGCCATTTTGGCATGCAAAAAAGGTAAACAAACACGGATGTAACCATGAACATGAACGGGATCCGCTTGGATTTTACTTCGTCGGAGTTTACTTCACACTTTAAAACCGAAGAAATCGTTTTATATAGTCAGAAATTAAATAGACTAAACATCTCCGACCCTTACCGTGCCCCTGGGATACTTTTTTAAAACGCCAGAAGCTGTCTGAGCGGACTTCTTACCGGCACAACACCGGACCTGGCCGGGGGAACCCCTTGGGATTCCCCCGGCCGGAGGAGCTGGGGAGAAGGTCTGGGACTCTCGACTCTACTGCCCGCTCCGGAGCGGATTTCTTACCGGCACAACACCGGACCTGACCAAGAAACCCCTTGGGATTTACCCGGAGGAGCTGGCTCCGGCGGCTGGGGAGAGGGAAGTCACGCTACTGCCCCCGCAACCCGACTCCGGATACGCGGATGAAAATGGATGGATGGACGGACAAATAACAGATTTTCACGTAAGTAGTCTCGGTGAGACAGATAATAGCAATCCAAAGTGCTTTTTATGTGTGATCTGACAATTGATCTGTCACGAACTCCTCCAGCTGACTGCATTCCATTCATTCCTGCCACCAACGTGGCGACTGACGTCATCACGCCGACACTACTTAAGGAAGTGCCGGCGTTTCATTCATTGCTCAGTCATCGTTCTCACCAGACTTTGCATCGAGTCTCCAGGCTTACCAGCCCTCTAAACACTCAAGCTACACCTACAGGAAATAACCACGCCGGTTATCTCCGTCTCTCCGCGTCTGGGCAACAGAACTCTCAGTCACGCTTCAGATCTGCCAACGAACCTGACAGGATGACTGAGCCAAAAGTTGACCAAGCGGAGTTCGCGCGTCTGCGTGCCGAAGTGGCTCAACAGCGCGCAAAATTGGATCAGCATATGGCGGAAATGAACCAGCTCCGTGCCATAGCTGATCGCCAAGCAACTAAGATCGAGTCACTCACCGAGCTAGTACTCCAGCTGACCACCGCTCTGCAACGTCAGACCGCAGCTGTTCCTGACAGGATGGAACCACGCCTCAGCCTTCCAGAGAAGTGGGACGGAACCAGGGGATCCCTGGAGGGCATGTTGGCGACCCTGGCCATGACTTGCGAGTGCCAACCGGCACGCTACCCCACATCCTGCTCTCGTGTCGCCCTGCTGACCTCACTGCTGACAGGTCGAGCCGGTGAATGGGCGGCGGCTCTTTACAATCAGAAATCTCCTGCCTGCAATGACTATGAGACTTTTGTAAAGGAGATGAAAAAGACTTTTGTGCACCCCAGCAGCGAGGTCTCGGACGAGACGCGGCTGCTTCAGCTTCGCCAGGGCTCCCAGACGGCGGCTCAGTACACCTCTCGCTTCCGGACGACAGCAGCTCGGTTGAGGTGGGATGACGCCGCCCTAAAGGCCGTTTACCTGGAGGGACTGTCACCGAGAATCCGGGAGGGCATGATCGGGCACGAGGTCCCAACCTCCCTGGACCTGGCAGTGGATCTGGCTCTCCAACTGGACCGCTGCATCCTGAACCGGCCGAGCACCATGTCAGCCCCCGTACACACCAGGACGTCACCCCGCCGGCCGGCTCACCAACTGACGGAGGAGCCGATGCAGCTGGGACATCTTCCCCCTGAGGAACGGGCACGGCGCTACCAGGAGGGAAGATGCGCTTACTGTGGGGATTTGGGTCACCACCGTGGCACGTGCCTAAAACGACCGGGAAAAGGTCCCTCCGGGTCGGAGTAGGAGCTGTCCCGCCCGGAGTCTCCACCTTTCCCGCTCCACACCGAACCACTCTCCCGGTCTCCCTCCACCTGGACCAAGGCCCGACCAGACTGGAGGCACTTCTAGACACTGGGGCTGCGGAGTGTTTTATCGATCACGGACTGGTTACTCGGCTCAAGATACCCCTCACCGCCCTCGACCGACCCATTCCCGTGACCTCTGTGGACGGCCGGCCCATCATGCCGTACCCTCTCACCCACCGAACTCAGGGTCTCCACATGACTATTGACCAACACCGGGAGATCCTCCACTTCCTGGTCATCCAGGCTCCGGCTACACCACTCATCCTGGGTCATTCCTGGTTCTGCCGCCATGAGCCTCACATCTCCTGGTCCACCAGTAAAGTCCTGGCCTGGGGCATGGGTTGCCATAACCACCGGGACTCCCCTGCACCTCGGACCAGAGCAACCACTCCCACAGACGTAGACCTGACGCTCATCCCTCCTCAATACCACAACCTCGCTCAGGTCTTCGCTAAAGAACCCACTACCAGGTTACCTCCTCACCGACCCTACGACCTGGAGATCAGGCTCCAGCCCGGCCCCCCCCCCCCCCCCCCCCTCGGGGTCGCCTGTTCTCCCTCTCTCCGGCAGAAACCCGGGCTATGGACAATTATATAACTGATGCCCTGCAGAAGGGATTCATCCGACCCTCAACATCCCCCGGGGCCGCGGGGTTTTTCTTTGTTAAGAAGAAGGAGGGGGATCTCCGGCCCTGCATAGACTATCGAGGGTTAAATAAAATAACGATCAGGGACCGTCACCCTCTCCCTCTCATGGGCACCGCTCTGGACGCCATCACACAAGCCGCAGTGTTTACTAAACTGGATCTGTGCAGCGCCTATAACCTCATCCGTATTAAGGAAGGTGAGGAGTGGAAGACCGCTTTTATCACGCCCACTGGCCACTATGAATATCTGGTGATGCCTTTTGGACTCTGCAACAGCCCTGCCGTCTTCCAGCGGTTCATTACAGATGTGCTGAGAGACATGTTGGGCCGCTGGGTCTTTGTCTATCTAGATGACATCCTCATCTACTCCCGCACGGCTGAACAGCACATCCGGCATGTTCGAGCTGTTCTGTCCCGCCTCCTGGATCATGGACTTTACTGCAAACTGGAGAAGTGTGCGTTTCACCAGGAGTCCACCTCCTTCCTGGGTTTTACCATCTCCTCCCAGGGCCTGAAGATGGACCCCCAGAAGGTTCAGGCCGTAGCTCAGTGGCCTCTACCCACGACCCTGAAGCAGCTGCAAAGCTTCCTGGGTTTCTCGAACTTTTACCAGAGGAGGTGGACGCCTCAGATGTGGGAGCGGGGGCCGTTCTCTCGCAACGGGGTCCAGACTCTAAGCTCCACCCATGTGCCTACTTCTTCCGGAAGTTTTCCCCCACACAGCAGAACTACGGGGTCGGCGACAGAGAGCTGCTGGCAATAAAATGGGCGCTGGAGGAATGGAGGCAGTGGCTCCTGGGGACCACCGATCCCTTTCTGATCTGGACCGACTACCAGAATCTCATTCATCTACAGACTGCCCGCCAGCTCAACCCACGTCAGGCTCTGTGGGCCCTCTTTTTCGAGCCGTACCACTTCCATATCGCCTACCGGCCCGGCTCCAAGAACCTCAAGGCGGACGCTCTCTCTCGGCGTTTCGCACCAGATGCCGCCCCCCCGGAGCCTCGGACCATTCTGCCGACTCAACGCTTCCTGGCCTCCCTCCAATGGCCGTTGGAGCAGTCCAATTGAAGATTCCTAAGCCGTTGTTTGGCCGAATCTTGCTCTCGCAACCGTCTGGCGCCACCTATCCTGACGTCATGTTTTCAGACCAGGTCAGCACGCTTGGAACAAAGCAGGTGCTGAAAAGTTGGGGGAGAAAACTAAACCATGCTGTTGAGAAAAGCTGTCAAACTGAACTGCACCACCCTGAGTCATGCTGGTTTGTACTGTTGGAAAAGGGTGTCTCGGGAGGGGGGGGGGTCTAGGGTTGTAATCTCCAATCTTTGGGTCATCGCGGTGGTCAAAAATGTCCTTGTTGGTGGCTGACATGAGTTTTCTCTGCAGGGTGTCTGGGCTCTCCCTCAGAGATAGGGTGAGATGCTCGGTCATCCGGGAGGAGCTTGGAGTAGACCTGCTGCTCCTCCGCATCAAGAGAAGACAGTTGAGGTGATTTGGATGCCTCTCTAGTGAGATTTTCTGTGTACGTCCAACCGGTGGAGACCTAAAGGAAGAGGACACACTGGAGGGACTGTCTCTCACCTGGCCAGGGAACACATTGGGATTTCCCCGGAGGAGCAGCCAAAGTGGCTGGGGAGGGGAAAGTGTGGGCCTCTCAGCTTAGGCTGCTGACCCCGCGACCTGAACCGGATAAGCGGACGATCATGGATGGATGGATGGAAGGATGGATGGACGGACGGACGGACGGACGGACGGATGGATGGATGGACGGACGGACGGACGGACGGACGGATGGATGGATGGACGGACGGACGGACGGACGGACGGACGGATGGATGGATGGACGGACGGATGGATGGATGGATGGATAGATGGACGGACGGACGGACGGACGGACGGATGGATGGATGGACGGACGGATGGATGGATGGATGGATAGATGGACGGACGGACGGACGGACGGATGGACGGATGGATGGATGGATGGATGGATGGACGGACGGACGGACGGACGGATGGATGGATGGACGGACGGACGGAGGACGGACGGACGGACGGACGGATGGATGGATGGATGGATGGATGGATGTATGGATGGATGGATGGATGGATGGATGGATGGATGGATGGATGGATGGATCCCCACATCTTTAAAAATGTTTAAGTAGTTTTGTTTTCTCTTAAGTTTGTGTTAAAGGGTTAAATTGTTGAAAAATTCCTCCAGTCTTAGATCTGATAAAAACCACCAGTTTATAATGATTTTCACACCCTCACTCTTTAGCCAATCACAGCAATTTAGGAAGTTCTGATTGGTTGATTTGTTCCATCTAGTGGAAAACACCAAGAAGGCAGCTAGCAAGAATCAAAGGAAGCTATGTCAGGAATGGGAGAATCCCACAAACATGCTGTGGCTTTTTCCAACAACAGTTTGTTTTACAGCAAGAGAAACAAGCTGGATCCTTTTGGAGGAGTGAAAGTGTTTTTACCAGAGGTATGTGATGGTCTTTATGACCGCTGCTGCTGTTTTCATGAGTCCGAGATGTTTTTCGTCTTACCTGTAGATGTACCCTGCAGTTACCCTAGCTGTCTACCTCAGGGTACCCAACCCTTAGCTTTCTTAGTAGCTCTTCTTAATCAACACCAACGGATTCCTGCTCCACCAACAGCAGATGTAAAGGTACAGCAGCTCACCTATGGAGGACCAGGACCTCATACACGATGGGTTTAGCTTCCAGAGTTAAATCCTCATCGTTGCCGCGGAGGCTCAGGCAGTATGACGTCAGACACTCGGCCTGGGAGATCCGTGTGGGAATACGAGACGTATTAATGTTGTCTCTGTCCAGCAAAGGGAAACATAAAACAAACGTTTGATCCAAACACCACCTACAGTTCATAAACGTGTCTGTTTACATGTTAAGAGTTAAAACTGAATTTATATATAAAAGTGAACACATGAACTAAATGTATCACTAACACATCGGAGAT